ATTATTATTTTTCTATCTACTAGCGGACATACTATCTTATATAGATAATTATAGCTAAACGGAAGAACCTTTTAGGACTAGATTTAGGCTGCTATATAGCCCTAAGACTAAGGAATTTAGTAATACCTCGAGTATATTAGGAAGTGTCTTAGTTCTATTAATATTCTTATTTAAAGGAGGTTAGTTATGCCGGTATTCTTAAGAGGTCTTAGGTAGCATTCTAAGCTAGCTCTATTTCTTCGATTCCCGATTATACGATAACCGGCACCCCGTTTAATGCATAATAATATATAAAATAATAAGCGATTCTTACTCTATAATATAGGATTTTATCTATAATTAATATACTACTTATTAGCTTATATAATCGGGAGAGTATATTATAGCTACTTTATTTATAGTAGGAACACCGTTCCTTATAATTCCCTATTAAGCTAGTTAAATATCTACTCTTACTAGTAAGTAATATTAATCTTTATATCTTTAAAGGCTTTTATTAGGTCTAAGATCTCCTTTATAGGCTATCTAGGTTTCTTATCTATTTTCTTTAACTCTTTAAGAAGTTTTCCTTTGCCCTTATTAGATTCGGCTTCCTTTATTACTTCGTTAATTTCCCTAAAGAGCTAGTCTTTCTTTAGGTTCTTAAGCTTCTAATTATAGACTTTAGATACTATATCTTATCGCTTAACGTCCTAGTAAGGTGCTAAGTAGTTATTAATTATATAGATAAGGCTTTTATATAAGAGTTTTAAGATATCTTTAAATATCTTCCTATTTCTTTCTATAACGTTAATAATAAGCTCCTTTAGTATTATATAGTAAATAAAGTATAACTAAACTATAGATTCTTCCTAGCCGTTAGGTTATACCTTACGCTATAGGTATAAGTAAAGACTAAGCTATTCTATAACTTTTATAATAGTCTTAGGCTTTTTAGTATTATAATAGTTTAAGCGGTCGTTAGTAGTTTTTAGTTATTTAATATTATATACGTAGTAGTATTAAAGGAGTCTCTTCTTTGCTTCTTTTTAAGTAAGTCCGTCTATAAGAATTTTAATAGTAAGGGCTTATATAAAGGAGATATAGACTTTAAGCTAGTTTATTTTATCCTCGTTATAAATATAGTTAACGTATATCTCTTATTTAAACTTCTTAAGGAATTTAGTTATATTTTTACCGTTAAATTTACTAATAGGTAGGAGTTATAGTTAAAGGAGTCTTCCTATAAGGTTATCTTAGCTTCTAATAAGTATATCTCTAAGTCTATTAGTAATCTTATTAATATTTACTTTAATTTTCTTTATATCGCTAGTAGTAGGATTAGATAATCCCTCTTAATAGCTAGCGTTTCTAAATATAGTATACCTATAGATTATAAGGTTACGAAATTTAAAGTTAGAGTTTTTAGAGTTAAAAGATATCTTATTATAACTATCTTATTACTTACTTTCTTATCTATTAGCGGGAGGTAAGCGTTCTTTATAAGCTACTATATAAAAGAGAGCTAAGGTTAAGGTTACTAAGGTATCCTTTATTAATACCTATATTAGTATTATTAGTATATATATAAGTAAGAGGTCTTAGTAAGGTTCTTAAATAGTCTAGATTACGCTATTATTATTATTTATATCTTTTAAAGTATTATATAAGGATCGTAGTTTCTTAACTAAGTCGCTAGTATTAGAGGTTATAGGGCTAATAATAAGAGCTTAGGGTTTTTTAGTATTAGCTTATTACTTTTCCTTTACTACTAGCGAAGGTATTATCTAATTATTTATTTCCCGGTAAGTCTATTACCTTATTAGGTCCCTAACTCTAGCTATTAAGGTAGTTACTACTTTAATTATTAAATCCCTAGATTTTATTTTTTCTAAATAGTACCGTCGTCCTCTAAGTATTCTCGGCTTTATAAAGCTACTTATCGCTGTATAAATAAAACGGAATAATAAGTTTACGCCCTAGAAACTAGTTTTAATAAGGATAAGGGTATATACCTAAAGCATACGTAGTATATAGCTAAGGATTAATAGAGTAATTAACTATATAATTATCTAATTATCGGTCCTATATATAGCTCTAAGGGCCTTAGGTTATAAATATAAGTCTTAGAGATTTCTTTACTCTATGCCTCTTTATCTTTACTAAAGTCGCGTAATTAGCGGTCTCTACTTTAAAGGGGAAAAATAAAAATTTAAATTAACTATAATTAAAAAAGATACTTAATTAGATAATTAAGGTCTTTATAACGCCTTTAAGTATACTTAGAAGTAAGTTAAAAGGGGAGTACTAAGGGTCTTATCCCTTTAACGGGCTAATATTTATAGGGGTGCGATCTTACTTATTAAAGTATCTACTACTATAGCTTAGAGGGCGACTTTAGCTTCTTTATCTAAAAGGCCTTATCGATATCTACTAAGCTAATTATATAGACCGCTACGTTAGCCGCTACCTAGCCTTCCTTCCGCTCTACCTATTATATAGTTCCTATAAAGATAGAGGTAAGGACTTCTTAGGCTAAGTATAAAGCTTATACGCCTAGTCTAACGCCTATAGAACTATTATTATAATAGACCTACCGTTATATAGGCCTAAACTATAGCTTCTTTTAATATAGAACTAAGTATAACTCTATATATAATAACTAGGGTTTCCTAAGGATTAAGGGAAACTTTAGTTAAGGGATTATATAAGCTACGATAAGCTTATAATAACCGTTAATATTTATAGCTAGCTATATAATACCCTTAATTACTATACCTTCTATTACGCTTAAGGCGCCCTTTACTTACCTTAGGGCGATCTTTTTTACTAGCACTTATATCTCTCGCGTAAGCGCCTTATTAACTATAGCGTAGTACTAATAGCCCTTATCTATAAGGGCGGCGATAGGTAAGGAGTTATTAATTATAACCTATATTAAAGTAGGCTCCTCTTTTATATAAGCGGATAATTCCTCCTTCTCCTTTACTAGTACTAGTAATTAGGGCTCTAAAGCCCGTCTTTATTCTAGAGCTACTCTTTTTCCTCTAGGCCTAGGGGCGCGGAGTCCTCTTCGTCGTTTAAGGTAAAAAGCGGTTCTATCTTCGCCGCTTAAACTATTATAGGCCGTTTAGCTAAAAGGAAAGGGTATTTTAATATAAAGTATATAAACGCGCCGTAACGTAAGTAGCGGCCGTTAGCTTTCCTTTTCTTAATTTCCTCGCTAGTTACCTACTTCGCCCGCTACTTAGAGTATAGGATAGTATAAGGGATATTTAATAATAACTTCCTACTATATTTAGCTTAGTCTATATAAATAGCCGATATTAAGGTATCCTTATTAGTATCGATAGTTAGCTATTCCTCTTATAAAGGGGCGGTAATCCTATTACCGCTATATAGCGTACGCTTATAAAGCTTCTAAAAATATAGCGTCTACTTATAGCCCTATACTACCTTTATTAACCGGCTTATATACTTACTATAGTTAGTAAGTATAATTATAAAGATAAGTAGCTCTTATAAAGCTAGCGTAATTAAGTTTTATAGCTATATAAGCTTCGCGCTATCTTCCTATACTATAGTTCCCGCCGCTTATAAGAGCGTCTTTTTAAAGTTAGGGAGGAATTCGCTAAAGGTCTACCTATCCCTTTACCTAAGGGTTTATAGCCTATCCTATGCCTTCTCCCGCTCCTATACGTTGCCGAACGTATATATAAGGTATTAAAAGAAGTCTTATAGGTCGCGTTTACCCCTAGGGCCGCCCTTATCTTAGAATCTAAAGATCCGCTATATCTAAGGCTCCGGTAGCGTATAAAGGAGCGAATACTACGCTATATTATAATAGCTATTTAGGCCTTATTTCTCGTCTATTATAAACTTTATCTATAGCTAGCTAAGGAAGAAGTAGAAGGACTTAAGCTTACCGTCCTAAGTTAGCTAAGGAAGCGGCTTTTATATCGGTAGTGCCGCTACTATAACTAGTATTATAGAGGTTATAGGGGTTAACGCTAGTCTCGTAGATAGCTCCCTTAGTATAGTAAGAACCTTATTCTTCTTGCTAGCTATCGCGCTTTTAATCGCTTCTAGGATAGCTACGATACTTCCTATCCGCCTAAGGGGTAGCGGGGTACTCCCTTAAGGAAGCGGCACCCTTTCTAAGGAGATATCTATTAGATCTATTAGTTAATAGCTTATACTATTACGGAGTAGGTAGAGGCGTATATATAGGTGCCGTCTATAGGATAATATTAATAAGCTATATAGAGCTCTTCTATATACGGCTAGCCCGTATATATAAGTATAGGATCTAGCCTTTTATACGTAACTTATATAGCTTAGGCTATAGCCTAAGCCTATAACCTATAATAGTTAAAGACTCTTATAGTTTCGTTCTTTATAATAGTATCTTAGTACTAAGCTAGGGTATAGGGCCTTTCTTCTAGGGTCTTTAAAGGGTGTTAGCCTCTAAGGCCCCGGGGTTAAGGGGTGCGTAGCCCTATCTTAGTCTCGGCCCGGGCCGGGGCCAGGGCCCCTCAGGGGGTCCTGGGTTAGGTCGGGGCTTAGTTCCTCCGTAAGCGGGGGGTACGTATCCTTAGTCATCGGGGTGGGGTGGAATTTTCCCTTCGTAGAGGGGAAAAGCGGCTCCAACTGGGCAGGTTCGGCGCCATATTGCGCGCTCGCTAGTGGCTGCACGAGGCTGCTAATGGAGAGGCGTAATAAGCGCTTAAAGACGAGTCGTTTGGTATATTAGGCGTGTATTTTATCGCGGTTGCGGGGGTTCGGTCGGAGTCGATCCGCCACTTTATTGAACTTAACTCTTTATTTAAGTCGCAGGCGCAAGCTGCACCACGTAAGTTCTCCTAGCAGACTGATTATTCATCAAAAAGGCGGAAGTGGCCAGGCCACCCCAAGTTGCCTGGATTCTCACTACGCGCGCGGATCCTGCCCGACTCATCTTCACAACGGCTTTTCCACCACGCCTTCAGACGCCGCCCATATCACGCGCAACCACCGCCAAGATGCCTAAGACTTCGACGCAGGAGCGCAATGACATGGCGCGGTGTTTCTTTGCATTCCTCGACAAGCACGACGGGGACCACGCCATAATGAGAGACCTACGTAAGTTCCTCCAAGGCAACCACGACTTTTCCCCGGCCGTCGACCGAATGCCTATGGACGAGTACGAGGAGCGGCTCAGACTTGTCTGCGCTCTCACGGCCGTGATTGAGGTCAAAAGCTCTATTGCTCCGACTCTGAGGGCTGCCGAGTTCTCGGCATTCATGGTTGCGCCCCTAGGACGACTGCGCACTATGCTCCGCGCCGGTGACGTCGACTCGTTGCCCTACGACACTGCCCTTCATGTTTTGACTGCCTTGCACAGCACGCATAATCTATTGCGCGTTTGTAAGCATATCCCGAGCTCGCCGCGTGTTCCTGGCCATTCTCGCTGACCATCAATGACATAGTTCTCCGAGGCCCAGGCACTATGGCACCAGCCACCAGTAGCCTGTCGGATTCAACATCGCCCAGGCCAAGAAAAAGGGCCCGTTCGGGCAGCAACCTGCGCTGGACCTCGAGACCCGGCAGCGGGGCGCCCTTGGATCCATCGCAATTGCAGGCTCGTGCGCGTAGCAGGGCCGAGAGACAGCGCGCCTTCGTCCGCGACAAAGGGCTATGTGTCATCACCGGCACCTCGTACCCGCAAGTCTGTCACATTGTGCCCTTTTCGTGGACTGAAAGCCAAAAGAACTGCGATATTTTGAAGGAAGTCATACTTATCCCTAAAGATGTCATATGGAACGACGACGACTTGCCCTCAGAAGCTTGGACGGCGCTGTGGCGCGAGCCCGGCTCCTGCGATAAGAGCTGGAATATGCTCTCCCTAAACCCGTTGTTGCACGTGTGGTGGGCGCGCTCGTTCTTCGGGCTCGAGTACCTAGGACGACTCCCCGCAGAAGAGGACGGCGACAAGGCGGGTGCCGTCATCCCCGTCGAGTTGCGCTTCCGGTGGCTCCGACGACACCCGACCGCAAGGCCCGACATGGTTATCAACTTCGACGACGAGCGCGACTACGCCAACTGCTTCGTGTCGCGGCTCTACGACAGCCCAACGGACCCGGCCACGGCCGAGCGCTTCGTCGTGTCGGGCCAAAGCGTCCGCACAGGGCACACCATCTGCGTCCGCGTCCCCGAGCCAGACGCCGACAAGTTCGTCGCGGCCGTCAAGGTCCAGTGGGCACTCACCCAGATCGCCGCCATGTGCGGCTTTGCCGAGACGTGCGACGACGACTACGACGACGACAACCCCCAAGCCCAGCGGGCCAGCGAAGCGAGGGTCTGCGAGTGGCTGCGCGACGTCCCGGCTGCCGGTGATCCCTCACCTCGCCAGCCCGAGCCAATGCCCCGAAATCCCGAGCCCGCCGGTCCCGTGGAACGCCACGGCAACGTGCCCAAGCCGTCGGGCCGCCCTGGCGACCAAGGGAAAACCCGGCCAGGCGGGCCTGATCCCTTCGGCTCCCCGACTCGCCCAGACACGGGCGACGGCGCCTCTGGCAAGCAGGCCGAGCGCTTCCCGACTGTGAGCCCGCAGCGTACGACTGGCGCGCGCGCATCTGCAAGTGTCGGGCCGGAAAATGTCCCCCCTTCAGCGCGCAAGGAGGAGAAGACGGAGGAGTAGGGGACGCCAAAACTAGACACCGCCAAAAAATAGGCACCTATCAATATCCACGTGTTACTTTCCACATCTATAAGTATTCACTCAGTGTTGCTTTCATTAGCTTTGGCGAAACCTTCATTCGTCCGTCGACCATGGACCTCGCCAACAACGCCACGGGCGATGCGGCAGCTTTCTCAGGCCGACCAGTCTCTTACGGGGAGCGGCGGCGTCAACTTAAGCGGCGGGCAGAGACACAGAGTGGTGAGTACTTATTCTGAGCCATATGATTATTCAAAGTTATCCAAGATGGGCTCCGTGCTCAACATCTTCTGTTTTGTAGGCACCGGCCAGGGCAGTCTATTCGCGCAAGCCCTGGCTTGTCCTTGACGACGTCTTTAGCACCCTTGATGGGCAGACTTGGAGGGTTGTTTTGGCGCGTCTATTTGGGGACGACGACGCGCTGCTACGACGTTCAAAGACGACGATCGTCATGGCCACGCACTCACCTAAGTTGTAGACAACATACAAAAGAAAGTCAACCTTCTAAATCGTGCCCCAGTCGATCATCTCTCTCGCGGTGACAAAGTCCTTGTCCTCGACGGGGCGGGCAACGTAAGAGAGCAAAAAGGGTCCAGCTACGAGGCCAAGGAAATGGCCAAGGAGCTATTGCAGCAAGATGAAGACGAAATCGAGCATGAGCAGTCGCAGAATGCTTCTGCTCCGGCGCCCAATCTTCTCCCGGCCCGAGCACAGCCCACGGCAACCAAAAACTATTTAGAACGCCAACGGGTGACATGAGACTATACGGCTTTTGCATCAAGTCCATTGGCTCATTCCTCTTTGGCCTGTGGCTTTGCACCGTGGCCATCTCGGCCATCGCGGAGAAGACGCCCCGTACGTTTCGCCCATTCTTCTTTAGATAGTTATAAGACTGAACTTAAGAGATAGAAATATTTACCCACATCTAGCTCGAGAGGGATCTTGAGAACAAGCGATATTTCATCGGATACGCTGATCTCGGCGTGTCATGTTTAGCATGCACTTTGGCAATGCTCGCGTGCGTTTTCCATGAATTTTATCTTATAACAAAGACATAAGACTGATAAGTCAGCACCCCTAGCTTCCGGCACCCCCTACTTCCGGCACCTCCCCACATCACCATCGCGTTGACTACCCACTACATCGTGACCGCGTTTTCTCGTGCATCTCTTATTCAATAATTATAAAATAAATATCATTCGAATCAGCGATGCCTCGTCTTTCTAAATATACCGAAAACCAGCTCCAAGAAGCGCTCGAAGCTATTAATAATGGCATACCTCAGCTCCAAGCTAGTCGCAAGTGGGGTATTCCAAGAACAACCCTTCAGACGCGTCTTAAAGGAGCCCTACCTATGAAGGAGGCAAAAGAGGCATCTCAAAGGCTTAGTCGAGAGCAGGAAAAACACCTCTGTGAATGGGTTCTTGCCCAAGCGGCCCTTGGGCTGCCTCCAACGCATTATCAACTCAGGAATTCGCCGGCCGCATCATCGTGGCTAGTGGAGACCCCGCCCGCTTGAAAACACTGGGTTTCGAGCTTTTAGCCCGAAACCCAGAGATTAACACGATCAAAGGTAAATCTCTTGATTCTGCCCGTATCAACGGCGCCTCTGTTAGCGGGATCAAGGAATGGTTCCAATTGCTCAAGCTGCCGGCTATACAGGCAATCCCACCGGAATCACGCTTCAATATGGACGAAACAGGCATCCTCGAGGGCCTTGGCTGCAACGGGCTAGTGCTAGGGAGCTCAGAGAAGAAGGAGGCTATCAAGAAGCGGCTTGGATCGCGTTGTTGGACTACAATCGTCGAATGCGTCTCTGCAACGGGCCAGGCCTTGACCCCCCTTGTGATCTTCAAGGGCCAGGACCTCCAACAGCAATGGTTCCCTGACGAACTCGATTTTCTAAAGGATTGGGACTTCGTCACTTCCCCAAAGGGCTGGACAAGCGATTCTATCGCCATTCAATGGCTCAAGCAGGTGTTTATCCCCCAAACAAGGCGCCACCCACAGGGGAACGTTCTCCTTATCGTTGATGGCCACGGGAGCCATTAGACCGACGATTTTATGTATGAATGCTTTAAGAATCGCATTTATCTTCTTTTCTACTAGCACACTCCTCCCACGTCCTCCAACCTCTTGATATCTCGGTTTTCTCGCCGATCAAGGCTGCCTACCGACGTCAACTCGAAAAAATCGTATCTTTCGACGATACAGCGCCAATTGGCAAGGCTACCTTCCTCCAAGCATATTATCAGGCCCGGCAGGCCGGTCTAACCGAAAAGAATATCAAGGGCGGGTGGCGTGGGTCAGGACTATGGCCAGTTAATATGGCAAAGCCCTTGCTAAGCCGGTTCGTCTTGCCGCAGCCGTCAACGCCGTCAACGCCGTCAAAAAGAAAGAATTCTGGTACCCTAGCTATTTACAATGCCCTCAAAACGCCTAAACGATCACAAGAAGTCCGTCGCCTTATTATGGGGCTAGAAAACCGCGGTCAAGTTGACCGTACGATCCGACTACTCTTTGGCAAGGTTGGCCGCAGCCTTGATGAGCAAAATTGGCAGCTTGTAGCCTCCCAACTTCGAATACAGCAGCTAGAGCATCAATTACATCGTCTACGGCCTCAAAAACAGAAAAAGGTCCCTCAGGACCCTAATGGGCGGTTCGTACAGATTGAACAAGTTATAAAGACGAAGAAATAGCTCGAGCGCACGCTTGAGCCGGCTGCCGCCGCCATAGCCAATCAGAACGCAGGATTTGAAGCTCTTTGCAATAGCTGGCAGCTAGAGTAGCCAGAAACACCAAATTTAATTATCGTGATGTTAAAATGCGGCTTCAATTGCGTTTGGAATGTGCCTGCCTTGGTGCTGCGAAGGGTGCCGGAAGTGGGGGGTGCCGGAAGCTAGGGGTGCTGACTTACTGTTGATATAGCTTTTATCTGCCCAAGCTGGTTCCTAAATTTATAGTGAGCCTGCACTAGATGTTTCTCGACCGCCTCATGAGGCAAGTTTACTATAGAAAAATGATATTTTATTCCACCTAGAGAGTACGCAATAATATTAAAGCGTTGGCCGTAAGTGTTTAGAGTTAGAAAGAATTAGGGACCCTAGTTAAAACTTTTCCACATAGAATCGTAACAGGTGTACGGACCGTCCGAACAGTCGAATTCGATGTTGCTACGACCCGACGAACCTTTACCAGGATGCCGTTGACGATTGTGATTGCATGTCAGGACAGTGCCTATTTCGCCTGCACAGGGCTGCTGGCGATTCGCACAATTCGAAAAAGCCGCCACAACAGTTGCACTTGATATGTCCTCATGGCCCTTTCCACTCGAGACGTTGACTTTCACGTCATATTTGTCGCTCCGAGAGTCGATAACGTTCCAATATGTCCAGGCGTTTTTCCTACAGTGAGGATTGGCCAAGACGGCGCTGATGAGCCAGGACGAAATCAGCCACCTGGTCATTTTCAAAAGCATGCTGGCGGAGGAATTTTTTGACGTTGGGGACGGGCGGTGGAGCGCGACAGCGAACAGCTGAACATGTGAGGTTTTCTCAGGGCAAATAGGTTGGGAGTGGGAGATAAAGAGGCATTTTCTGCCCGAATCAGGGTTGAGAGAAACGAGCTTTCCCTAAGGATATCTGCGAAGGAGAAGGGAATATTCAACTGAGTATGTCTGGGACATCGACGCCTTAATATAGGCATTTGATCCAGGCGAGCCGACCTTTCTTTTTCTCCGCAGGTTCATCACTCCAAAACGCTGAGGGAGGTCGGTTGGTTGTTCGCATAAGCTGCATATGACGGCAGGAGAGCAAGGGGCCCGATTACGGTACTTGTATTTTTGGCGCGTGAAGCGCAGAGCCTATGAAGAGGGGAAACGATTCAGCTCTATTTGTAAAGACTTGGCGTATTGCTATTCGGCCAACATATTTTCTCTGTTCGGCAGCTTTCCGCACCCTCCAACCACACTCACCGGCGCCAGGCCCCGCCACCAAAAGCCTGTGTACTGAGAGTGTCTCTCAAGGTCATCGGAGCCCACACATATACACACACACACCAAGGAAAAGGGGTCAAGCTACGAATGTTGATACCGAAAGAACTTTAACACGGAGGGCTGGGCGGGGACCCCTGCCACTGTGCAAGCCACGCTTACCACCGGATTTATACCGTCTTGTGTTACCCTGCTCGAGAAGCTTTAATCCTAGTAAATCCACTAAATTGTGTGTGTAACCTCACTGTTTCAAGGACAGCGAAGGATTTTAACGAAGACCTCTCAAATATAAAGTCAAGCAAACAAGGCCAGCACAGTCAACAAGGCAGCCAATGAGGCAGCAGCCCCAGCCGCCTGACCGCCCGCGAGACAGCTGCCTTATTGAGCCAGCCTGATACATGGTGAAGCGGCAGACTACTAAAAAAAGGCAGCAAGTTCGCGGCAGCAACTTGTCACTCGATGGCGTGAAGCGTATATGGCCCTCCCACAGAAGAAGCTGCAGAGACTTGTCGAATGAACGCCTGGTCATATACAATGGGTATATTTCTGCACGGCGGCACCTATTATGGGGAAGGAACAGCCCCGACCGAGCTCTTGAACGAAGAGAAACAGGCTCTTTGTAAAGAGCTACAGTCATTATTATTACAGTATTTGCCTATTATTCCAGATTATTATAAATGCTCTGATTAGGAAGACTTGGATGACTAGATAGCTTTACTTTTCTAATTAGGCAGTGCTACATGCAAGCTCTGACTTACACGATGGCAGGGGCTCCTGCCCAGCCCTCCATGTTAAAGTCCTTTTGGTATCAACCTTTGTAAGGCAGCCTTTAATTCACTCAAATAACGCATCTTCGTAGCTAATACAAAAGCTAATACTCAATGAAATCATGGGTTCCTAGATGCCCCTACCACCGTAAAAGAGCTGCCACGCACAGTATGCTCGAATGATTACTCGTAATTACTTTTATTATTTACTTTACTATATTACAAGAAGGGATCATTTTCTAAAAATAAAAATAAATTTGAGTTGTAGCCGTAGGCCTCTAGAGGACCGGCGCCACACCTCCCTACTCTTGGTGCGCTCGTTATCCAGAGCCGTGCGCTTGGTAGTCAAAGCTAACTTTTTGTTCCTCGACGAATTCCCGTTGCGTCGCTGCCTTCCTGGCAGCAGGGCACGGCGCCAAGCCAAGGGATTCGATGGTGTTCCTGATGAGCTCGAGGGACAGGGCTTCGTTCCGAACTCGGCTAATCGACTTGGCACAGAATGCGGCGTTCTTGATCTGCATCGAGCACCGTGAGTAATGTGACGGCTAAGCTTCAAAGCCACTAAATAAAAATCCTTACTTCTCGTCCGCTCAGCGCGTACTCCTCAGCTAGCTGCCCAATTCCATCCTCCTCGTTGCTCGCCCCAAGGCCAGAAATGTCAGGCCCAATAAAATTCTTCCATACCGCAAGCCGTACTGAGGAACTCAGGTCGTTGTAATGAAATTTATAGTGGATACGACCTAGACCCTCGATCAGCAAGCGGCGAAGATCAATAGGGGGGTGAATTGGGGTAAGAAACACTCACTCATGAAAGCGATGTCAATGTCTAATTTTCGGTTGGTCGTCAAGATTGCAACTCCTTGGAAATATCTGCAGTGCGCAAGTTGATCAGTATAGCTTACACCAGAAACACGACGAATAGGCGGGACGGACTCGAGGCGACGCAAGAAGACGCTCACGATCGCGTTTCGCCCTAGGTTGTAGTCGTCTCGTTTGTGGAGAAAGACCTCAGCCTCGTCAATCAACAGCACACAGCTCCAGCGACAGGTTATGTCGAGGGCCTTGCCAAGCTGCCTGTCGACATCGCCGGCCGAAGTGCCCAGTTCCCCGGCTGAGACGCTGTACAACGGCCGGTGCGAAACCTCGACAACCGCCTCGGCCGTGAGCGTCTTGCCTACGCCCGGCCTCCCGCTCAACAGACCGACCATGCCCCTCCCTTTACCGTCGATGATGTCGTCGAAGCCGTCGTCGTTGTCGCCGTCGTCGGTGCGTGTGCGGTAAGAGCGAATCAGGTCCTTGATCAGTCCAAGCTGCTTCCCGGGCAGGACGACCCTGTCGAAGGCGGCCTCGTTCCACCTGGGGTCCTTGAGCTTGGAGACAGTGAACGCGCCCCATTGTTTTTCGTCAAAGCTGAAGCCGAGAATTCGATGGTTGCAGAACATCAAGTCATCATCCTTGACCGAGCTTAAATGCAGCTTGTTTGACTTTCTGTTCCTGACTAGTGGCCAACGCAATTTGTCCAGGGCGTAGCTATGGACCATCCAAGTTGGTGGGTCGATCATGACACGCCGACTAGCCAGGAACTGGACTTCTTCCCAGGATGCTCCCACCCGTTCGGAGCGCGTCGCCGTGGTGCCGTACCATTTGCATGTCGGCTTTTCAAGAAGCTTGATGAAGCTTCGTCCGCGGTCGGTTAGCTTTTGTCGAATCGCTTTCTCCTCAGGATGCATGTCAAGTGGAAACACCAGCAGATCAGTGATTGCCATATTGCCTTCGAACAAGGGCAGTCTGATGCTCTTTTCTCCCCAGCCAAAGACCTCCGAATCATGTGTAATCAGGGAGGCGTGCACTCTGTAAAATTTCTCCCCGGTTTCTCTGTCTTCTCCGTACGCGCCATGCTTGAACTTCATGACTTGTGCCTCCCCCAAGTCGTTTTGATCGCCATAGATTGCAGAGCTTGGCATAAAGATGCTCCACAAGAGATCATAGCTGATCAGGCCATCGGTGAGGAGTCCCCTCAGCTCGCTGCGCTGTGACCCAAAGTCTTGGTCCAGATAGGCCAGTGCAATAGATATATCATCGACAAGCTGACTGTCTGGTGGCTGTCTGGCGCTCTCCTGGGCTTGGCGGGCCTCCAACGACTCCCAGGCCAGGAACAGAGTGGTCGGTTCCAACTACGTCGATGAAGGATGCATCTTAGACTTCATATTTAAGTACGCAGTTGCGTGCTTTTTACTCACCTCTGGTGACTTGTTAGATGGGGCCAGCATCAACTGGTCGGCGTCCCGGAATATGTCTTGCAAAACCGCTGCTAATTTTAGAGACTTGATGTCAACCACGGTACCTTCTGGTATTCCTCTGTAGCTGATGATCCTTCGTATCACGAGGGTGTGCTTCTCCAGCCTTTCTCTTGTTCTCTTGTCTCCCCTTGCTGTCTTCGCGAAATGCGTCTGGCGATCTTTCCTGGAGATGAGGCCATGACATGAGAATTTATTCGAAGTGTAGAAATGACGGACTTACCTGCTGTAATACTGATCTATCCGAGAGATCCTCTTGTCCGTGGCCGTTGTGTTGTCGATGCTTATGGTGCCTGGTAATGCGGACGTCACTTGAATACTCACATCCATTTCCACTAGAGTTGAGTTGAACGTGGCAGTGGCCGAGGACGACGGTGTAGTGAGTGAGTGCAATGATATGCTTCTGGATGATGTTCAAATAAGGGAGCTGAGGCACGGTAGGGGGTGGGGGGGAACTGGGTGGATGACCGTCCTCCCTGCCAGATGTTTGTTGGTGCACTTGACAAACAAGTTTCACAATTCCATGTTCCAAAGTGACCCTGGGAGAATAGTTCACAAATTTGCAGCTGGCGTGGCGCGGGATCAGGATCTGCTATATAGGTGGCCCATGATGCCTCCGCCGGTTTGGATGCTTCTGTTGCCTGCTGCCTCCTGCGTGTATGATTAATCGGGCTGCTTCTACTAGTCGGGACGCCTCTGCTTCTTGCGAACATAATTAGCTGGGCTGCCTCAGCTAGTCAGGATGCCTTTTCTGCCTCCTGCCTCCTGCCTCCTTCGAACATGATTAATTGGGCTGTCTCAACTAGTTTGGGATGCCTATCCTGCCTGCTGCCTGCTGCCTGCTGCCTCCTGCGAATATGATTAGTTGGGCTGCCTCAACTAGTTTGGGATGCCTATCCTGCCTGCTGCCTGCTGCCTGCTGCCTCCTGCGAATATGATTAGTTGGGCTGCCTCAAATTACTCGGGATGTATTTCCTGCCTGCTGCCTGCTGCATGCAATAGTTGGGCTGCTCTCGCCAGTTGTGATTCGCCTGCTGCGTCAATCAGGCTGCATCAGCTGAAATGCCTCCACTGACCGTGATGTCTGTTAGTCGTGATGCTTCCATTGGCCGTGGTGCCCCTGCTTGCCATGATACTTATGATACCTGTTCGTACGGCTTTCGCTTTAGGTATATGTCGACGTTGGTGACATACCCACCCACGGCTCCGTTCAACAAGGGAGATACACTGTACACCTCTCACCATCTATTAACAGCCGCGCTGTATTCCGCCCCTGGCTATCGACTCGGTGAGTTGGCCTGCAGCTGCAGAAGACTCATGTTCTAGAATCAGAGCTGAAATCGTGGCTTCGCGACCCTGCTAGTGCTCTCTTGACGCAAGGCTCTAGTCAGTTGGTTGGTTCCTATGGGACAAGTCTGTCGAGATTCTCAGCCTTGGTGAATGCCTCACCTATTCTAAGCTTGCGATAATTCCTCCGGACCTTGGCGTCAGGCGCAGGCTTAGAAGGCGCGGGCTTAGGAGGCGCTACTGCTTAGCTTCACTGGCTCTTGGTAAAGAAGTTTTTTTATAAGTTTAAAAGACTTATATATATATAAATTGAAGGTCTATAATCTGCACTTTATGGTTTAGCAGGAGTTGCCGTAAGATCTCTTCCAGGCCTAGGACATATGTGCGGACTTGAGACACGGGATACATTACGTATTAAGCAAGAACATTGGATAAACTCCCGACTTAGTGGTTGCACAAGTGTGATCTAAGCCAGAGGCGGCAGTCAGTTGGAAATTGTTACGCCGGCCTAGTACTGCCTATTCGGCAGCCGGCTGGAGGCCCAGTCAGTCTATATTAAAGCCACATAGCCCATGGACCACCCGTCCTCATCCAACTCCGCTGCATACACGTTTGTCCCTTGTGTAATTTTTTTCATATATCTTGTTGCTCACGAAACCACATTTGACGGATCCCCAATATCTGAATTCAATTCGATACCCCAGTCTTGGGCTCTTGTTCCTGTCCCACCAGTATTGGCTGTCCTGTCAAAGGCTTCCTGTCGGGGAACCTGCTGGATCCCATCATGGTACTCGGAATGATTAACGGACTCGAGATTGTCTCGCTTATCGATGTCTCCATCGACATCATAAAATTAATCAGTGAGCTTCACGACGCAATCAAGTCGTTCGAGGGACTTCCAAAGGCATTCCAACACGTCAACGAGCAGCTCCCCCTGGTGCTGGACACGCTCACGCGCGCCAAGGAGAGAGTCCCCCAGCTTGAGGCCACGACGAGAGTCTTTGTCAAGGAGAAACTGCAACAATGCGAGAAGAAGGCCTCGGAGCTCCTGGAAATATTCAAATATCTCAAGGAGACCCAGGGAAACTCAATCATGAATGTATACAAGCGAGTGGTGAAAACAATTGGAAAACGCGGCCGAGTCGAAGACCTGATGAAGGACATCTTATCAAGCGTCAAGGAGCTCTCGGAGAACCAGGTATTTCAACTTGCAGGTCAAGTCGACAAGTTGCAAAATGCCCTCGACACCTTGGCCCAGGTGATCCCGTCCCTCGCGGACAGCGAGATGGAGTCGATGAATGGAGGCACAAACCCTGAGCAATTTGGCGACAACAACGTACAGAACTGGTCGGTTGGGGATGGAGATGCCTGGAACGTGACAGGCGTTGTCAACAGAGGGCAGAACTTCAATCAGAGCAACCACTACGGCAAGTAAGTATGCAACTGGATGATCGGCCCAAAACCTTGGGATCCGGGAACCTTGGGCATGTGATTCGGGCTTCGGGCATAAGCGGCCTTCCGCGGAAAGCTCTAGCAGTTGTTCTGAGTGATACAGGCTACAGGGTCGAGACTGACACCGGAGGTAGCATGATCAATACCACTGTGGCCAAAGATCCATGTTAGTCAAAGTCTTGTTTCAGCATATTTTAACAATCAATTGAACTTGGTCTATTCTAACTGTTGCGTGCAACTCATCACAGCGAGACGGCACGACGTGATCAATTGGCTCCAGCATCAGATGCCAACCTATGACACGAGCGCAGTGGATTGCTCCCAAGACGGCCAACGAGCCAAGCACGCAGGTCATATTCTTCCAGGAACAGGGGCGTGGCTCTTGGATAATCTTTCATTCAAAGATTGGCTGAAGCCAGGCTTCTGGAAGAAAGTGTTCTGGCTCTTCGGCGAGCCTGGATTTGGGAAATCTGCCCTCTGCGTCCACGCAATTGAGGCCTCGGAAAAGCTTTTTAGAGACCGTAGCTCGCGCTCAGACCCAGCGGCGTTCTACTTCTACGACTACGGCGAGGAGCCTGAAAATGACACAACAGTGTACCTCAATCTGGCTGACAGCCTGTTCCGCCAGAAATATGCCTTCGGGGACCAGGTTTCAGACAAAATCTTTGCATTTGCAGGGAGTCGGGCGACCGGACCTTTGCTCAAGGAGTTCATCAAAGCCATCATCGAGGAGCTCCAGGTTGCCTACATCTTTCTTGATGGCCTGGACGAGGTCTTACATGACTCCCTAAGGGCCAATCGTGCCCTCCAGACACTGAATTTCTGCCTCAGCCTGACTGAACAGAAGGAGTTCGATGTCAAGGTCTGGTGTAGCTCGCAGGACCGGGTCAAAATTCGCACGGCCATTGAAAAGTATAATGCTGGCTTCTGGCTACACCTCACTGGCGAAGAAAACGCGCCTGACATCGAGATTCTCGTCAGGACATCGGCTGAGCAGATGCAGAAGGACGGCCCGGATGGCATGAAATTGCGGCATTTGCACGAAGTGATGCACACCATCAAGGGGAACTTTCTCTGGGCCAGTCTGGCCGTGGATTCGATCGTGCAAGCCGGTACGAGTTGGCAGCTCGACGATCATCAGCCGCTTAAAGAAACGCCCCAAAGCTTCGGAGAGTACCTGACTAAACGGATCAAGTGCATTAACCCGAAGCATCACAAAATCTTTAGGGCCCAATTATCTATACACCTCCTTTTATTAACTGTACACCAAAAAGTGGATCAACTGTGGCTGGGTCAGGCGCAGTGCCGATGCCGCTAATTTTGGTGCGCCCATTCCCGGCCGGCCAGCTGGCCAGTTCGTGATGCTTGCGTAACAACATCCTGTAACCGTAACTATCAGCAATACCATCAAAACTGAAGCTATTCGCACCGCGTTTTCTGCCCTTACGAGCCCGAATCATGGAGTCGCTTACGAAGACACTATTCCCGACCTTCCAGGCCGCGATGGAAGCCGCCGATACCGTTGCTGAGGCTGAGGGCTACGCCCTACACATTCGAACATCGAAGCGGGATAACGCTGGCCAACGCAAGTCTGCACTTGTTCGTTGTATCAAGGCCGGCCCCTACGAAAATCGGAAGGATAAAGCTGCTCATATCTCTCGTCGTCGCCTCAATACAGCAACCCAGAAAACAGACTGTGAATTTCGCCTCTCGTTGAAGGAAAAACGCGGTTACTGGACTATCTCTTATCTTCACGATGTTCACAATCATCGCCTTGTTGATGACCCGATGGTCTTTCCGAAGTACCGGGCGCTTGTTATCCAGAAGTATCGCGACGACATTATCCGGAAGTTTAATAACAATACCCGGCCGACCGATATTGCTGGCGAGCTTCGTGACCTGGTTCACGACGATCCTCGTTTAGCCGGTATCACGGCTCAAGACGTGAGTAACGCCTTGGCTAGGCACCGTCAGGAAGAACTAGCTGGCCGTACGCCTCTTCAGTTTCTCTACGACCGGCTAGATAAGTCCGACTTCTTTCATCGAGATAGTCGTGATCCCCAGGGCCGGCTAACTGGGCTATTTCTCGCGCCTCGTGCTACCTTCCATCGATGGCGTCAGCATCACGATGTCCTCGTCCTCGACTGTACCTACAAGACGAACCGATTCAATATGCCGTTATTGAATATCTGCGCGGCCACTCGAGATAACAAAACGTTCTCTATTGCCTCTATCTTCTTGAACGGCGAGACCGAGTCCCATTACTATTGGGCTATCTCGTTGCTGCTAGTCCTTTGCGAGAAGGAGTCGATCCCATTTCAAGGGTCACTGTCACGGACCGAGATACTGCGTTGCTTAAGGCGTTAGATAGCTTTCGCGAGCTTCAAAACAGTACTAACCTTCTCTGCACGTGGCATATTAACCAGAATGTCGTTGCGAAATGCAAGCAATTTTTCCCTAAGGCATCAAAAATCGGCAATCGAGTCGTACGGGCCCGGCATTCCAAGCGTTTCTACAAGAGTGGAACGAGATCGTCAAGTCACAAGATGTGAATAGCTTCAACGAACGTTTACGCCAATTTGAGACACCAGGCCGCCACCCGCTTGCAGCTATACAATACTGTTGCAATACGTGGCTAACGCCTTGGAAGGAGAAGTTTGTATCTTGTTTCGTTAATCAATATCGCCACTTCGGGCGTACAACGACCTCGATCGTCGAGGGACTTCACTCTCATATGAAGAAGTTCCTTTGGTCCTGTACGGGCGATTTGACGACCGTTTTCCAACGATTCGAACGCTTCTGGGGCCATCAGGCTGCTCAGATCACAGCGATAGAGAATCGAAACCTCCACAAGATATCAACGTTCTCCCTACAGGCGCCGTATATGCCGATCCGCGAGCGAGTATCGTCATATGCGTTAAAGCTACTAATAGATGAGCATCGCAAGATCCTCTAGACCCCGAAGTCAACGGGCCAAACCGCCGCCAGGTCAATGTCCTTGTAATTGGGCTACTAGTCGAGGGCTACCGTGCTGCCATCGAATCTTCGAGTCTATCAACACCAATACCTCCCTTACACTCGACGACTTCGACCCATTTTGGTATATTCCGATCGATACAAGCGCTCAGGGCACAAGCCCTACTCGGGCACCATACGAGCCACAAGTTATCAGGGCTGGGCCGCCCCAGGGCTCACTCAACCTCGAAGAGTCACGGCGGTCAAGATCAACGCGGCGGGATCCGTCACATCACGAGATCGCTGAACGGCATGAGCGGGCTGAGGCTATACGACTGCCTCCTCCCTCAACGGCACCAGCGGCGATGACGGGTACGGTAACGGCCGCGATGACTTCAACGGAACGAGGGCTGCGGCACATCGAGGAAAACGGCGATACGTACGAGGCAGGCACACGGATGCAACGGGCGTATCAACAAGCCGGGCGTCAAACGCCAGTCTCTGATGATGACGATCAGCCGGTACGGCGGGAGACCCAAGACTGCATCTTCGTCGCCGGCCTCACGGACGATGCCGCCCTTGAGGATGTATGGGATCAATTGGAATCACAGTTAGATGAAGCGGATCAGGCACGTAGTGCACTCGAAGAAGGAGGCCTGTTGTAAACACCAAAGAATAGTCTCATCAGCATAGAAAGCGCAGTACGAATAGCTTCAATTTTGGGTGCCTTATCGTTGAAGGAGAACTGTTACTACCTGGCTCTACTTATCGTAGAGAATGTGTGCATACAAATTGGCGGTATCGGCCCTCTTCGGCCGTCAGCCACAGTTAATCCACTTTTTGGGTGTACAGTTAATGAAAGTGGGTGGATAGATAACTTGGGCCAATCTTTAGGTACGTATGCATCACTATCCGCCACATCACTGATAATCTTGAGGATCCAATAGATGTATGAATTGCTGACAAGGGCTCTGTGAAGCCAAATTCTATCATGTCTTGTCTATGCAAAGCGCCCCCTCTCGTCCGAGGAACTCGGCGAGGCGATCACTATGTTCCCACTTCCTCCTAGCCCAAATCAAGATCTAGACCCAGACAACTCCTGCCAAGTTTTCAACTCACCGATCACAGATATTTGTTCGCCATTTGTTCGTAGGAAGGAGCTGTCAAAAGGAGGCACGCCCCAGATCTTATTCAGTATTTACCACACCTCCGTTTGCCTGTTTTTCAAAGATAACCCCGACATTCTTCAACAATGTGGTCAACAAAGCGACAAAGATGTCTCAATATCACCTCGCCTCCTTGCCCGTGCTACGCTGCGGTACCTTCGGCAGCCCCGGTATCGATGCCTTCTACACTTGAATGGGACGGGCGCGTCGGCCACGTTCCTGACAACCTGCGATTCAGACATTATGAAGCACCACCTGCTCATCTACAGCGTCAAGTATTGGGCCAAGCATATCGACGATTTTCACAAGACAGCCGACTCCAAAGAGATGTGCAAAGAAGTGGATAGCTTCATTCGTTCTAGAAACTTCGGCACCTGTGTACAACTCCAGAGTCTTTTTGTTCAGTGTTAGTGAAAGCCTTGAGACGCAACCCTACTGTTGACTCGTCACCGAGGCTTGCTAACCCGTCTGCAGGGAGATTCTCAATCTGGTACATCGATTGGGAAAATGGAATATACTACACGAGCGAGGTCGAAGACAGGAACAAGAAAAAGCACTTCAGCAGGGGCTTGCCGTCGTGTTATACCGATCATGACTACGGAAAGCCCCCGTTCCAGGAATACAACGAGGCCATCGCAGAGTGGGGATATTTCCTCAATTCCTCGTCAGTCATCCATGGCAGCCTCCGCGGTGAGATTAATAGGTGTCAATGGCAGAGCCTCGGGAAACGCAATTTCATGCATTCAATCCACAGTCGGCTGAAAAGTTATCGATTGGAAGCGGGAGAGGGAGAAGAGGTCTCGCCAAGCCCAAGAAAGACCTCGTACTTCAACAGTTACGGACCCTGCGCCCAGGACGTTCAAGTTCTGTTGTTGCACGAGCGGTAAGTCCGGCACTGCCGACTTTTGGTGGCGCTTTGCGACCACAGCTGACGACTTGGAAATCCAGCCACGAGCAGGAGGGCATGCAGGTGGAGGCACAGCGGTGGACGGTGAAAAAGCTAGGTCATCGACACAAGCTACAGACGAAGAAGCAAATACTCAAAATCACGGACGAACAGCTCCGCCTGTACACCAGGCCGCTCCAGGACCGCGAAGCAGGTCGAGCAACACAGGCCGCCATCACAGGCTGCGGCGGCCTCCTCCGAATCGGGCACAAGGTATACGCCCAAGATGACGCAGGCCTTTACCGTGTGCTTGAAATGGGCGACTCCCGGATTGCGTACGTTGAAGAAATATGTTGCATGGGCCCGTTGATTGCCATCGTCCACCGTCGAGGAATCAAAGTGGCTGAATCCCTCAGCAGCAGGGACGACCGGCCTTGCGACGAAGCGGAGCACGAAGAAGTGCCTGCCGCAAATGGGATAGATGACGATAATTCGACGGCTTCATCCGAAAGTTCCAGCTCCAGCAGCAGTGATAGTGACGACGACGAGGCACTTGACGAAGCGAATCCCATCCAAAGCCTTGGCGAGGTACAGGGATGTTCGGCAATGGAGACTCAACTCGACGCACAAGAAGACTCTGAGTGGTCAAATTCGGCAAGGGCATCTCACAGCGATGGTTCAACCACGGACATATCGGATGAGATGCATGATGATGAGTTTTGGGACGACTGGGGCTCCGAGGATGAGGACATGGAATTCAAAGACATTGACGCGGCAACCGATGAGTCCTCAGCCAGTGCATCGAGCATGATATCCGAGTGGGATGGAGGCCCAGGGGATATTCCCATGCACACGGATATTCACGACCTCGAGTTCGATCTCGACGGAGATAACTCAGACATTCCGAGTGCCATCTCCACTGGAGCGTGGGCTGACAGTGACAGCAACTCACAGGAATCGGAAGACGGGCCTGGACCCTTGCAGGAAGCCGAGACTACGGTCAATCGGGCATCCGACAAGCGCGAGCTCGTCATCTTGTTTCACGACAGGTCCAATAACTTGGCCCGTCGTGTTTTCCGGTTCGCCTATCGGTGGGCGGGCCAGCTGTTCAACTCGCCGCCCGTCATACATCCGACACACGAGCTGGCCGTCTGGCCTTTGGGGAGAAACGAGATCCTCTTCGCCAACTTCACCAAGCACACATACTTCATCCGATCCCTCAAGTGCGGAGCTAAAGACATGTGCCACATTTCGATCCAGGCAAAGTTCTCCGACTGTGGTCGGTTCTTGCACCTGGCCTGCCTCGACGGGTGCTTGGGCAGCAGCAGCAACAGCCACCCGAGCCATGTCCACACCAAGAAAGCATCACCGGCTCTACGTGGGCTATATATACGCGTGTCCACGTACCGACTGTCACAGGGCAAGCCTTCGAGGAGCCCGCCCAGGCTTGTGCATAGGGCCTCGGCACCGCTGGACTGCCACCTACTGCGCCAAGACGACGGCCAACAGCTCCCGGCGTCCCCGCTTCCCTACACTTTCACGTGGACCGCGGACCACCTCTACGCCGCCGAGAGCTACAGGGTCCTCCGCGTGTATCGGGTGCCGCTGCACCGTAGGGTCGAGGAGCGCGACCTCCAAGAAGACGCGCAGCAGAACTCGGCTGAAAACAAAGAAGTACCTGGCTCGGACGACGTGGATGGTTCCAAGCCGGCACAAGTCGTCTTTAGCAACGAGGCCGAGATCTTCCTCCCAAAATCAGCAGACAGCCGCTCTGTACTCTTCTTCCCTGCCCCCGACGGAGAGGCCGACACCAAGACAACCGAAAAGAAGGCCAAGCGCCGGACGAAGTCATCCACATCCACGACCAAGAAGAAAAGCGACGGGGACCAGGTCGTCGCCACGGTTATAATCTCATCAGAAGTCAGCCTCCTCGCCGGGGTTCAGCCCTATGTCGGGCCCCCTCAAGTCGTATACCTGACTGCCGCTGAGTTTGGATCCTGGCGGCGGCTCTGCGGAGACCCCCGGGGCTCGGGGGAGGGAGACGCGTGTGCCAAGACGTGGAAAGGCGGTCAGCTGGAGGCGCGTTACGAGAAATTTGATCATATGCAGGATTGTGACATTGTGCCGTTCTTTAGATAGTAGAGTCAGATGCTGCGAATTCCCCGCCGCTCCCACTGCCTTCCCCTTTTCTAGTGACGAATTTACAGTTCCATGCCATGTCTGTGGGCTTCTTAATTTGAACCCAATGTGTGCCGGAAGCTCCTGCTTGCTGTGCGTATTGCAGCTTGAAGACGGGCATCTTTCCAAGAAGCAAAAATAGGAGAAGGTGTAATTATACGTTATCTACAAATATTAATATACGGACGCGCTCGGCAACTTAATAAGTGCTGACAACTACCCGACGCCTTATCGTATCGACTACTAGGCGCGACTCCAAGTCTAGACCATCTAATTATAGTACCGGCTTGAACGAGATTTGTTTGGGTGAAGTCGGTCAATTCTCAACAAGGACGACCGGGTTGTTTCGGAGGGTTGTGTCTGCAACGGTTGATAAAGCCCAGTACACACTATTTGCGGTGAGTGAGGGAGTTGTGATTGAAGTTCAGTCGTCAATGCACGTAGCGGCTGAGGGGAAAGCACGAGACAACCCCGTTGCCGTAAACCCGGCTCTGGTCGCCGTACTCTGTCAGAACTGACATACCGAGACGAGCTCGGCTAATAGCATTCACGGGAAGCACTCAACGGTCGAGTTATAAACCAGAGGCCTAGTCCGACGCTGAGAGACTCGCTCGGGCAATACTTTCGGCCCTCGAGTGAAAAAGCAGAGGCAAGAGCCGCAAGTAGAACCCGGTAGAAATGTTGCTGTTGCAACGGCAGTGGGCTCGAGTATACAGAGCCCTTGCGTCAAACTGTCGCTGAGCCGCATCGAAAGCCGAGTAGGGCAGCCAAGTGTGAAATAATCCTTTTTAAGTTTCAATAATTGCCGTTATGGTTTTAAGCTTAACGGCCTTTGATCCAAGGATTTCTTGCCTCGCTATGACCACTGAGCAAGATCTCTTTTTTCCGTATATTATCAGGTTACTTGGCTGTTCAAAGCGGGGAACTTGGCAGTATGTGACTGGCTGATAACGCTTACTCTGTGATGAGCTCGCGCAGGTCCAACCGGGTGGGGGGTCTGCTCGTCTTATGTCCTTAGCCTATCTTCGTGTTTACGTGATTCTCACACCGATATATGTATTGATGGAAACGATTCCGGGTTACAAGATATGAGTGTCTCATCAAGGAGACACATAGAAATATGGATTGGACGTAAAAGCGGTTTCCTTTGCTCATAGCGGTTTCCTTTGCTCATACATCAAACTAACCCGGCTATGAACAACCCTTTTCTCCCCTGCTACCTCGCCTTTCCGTGTCCACGGCCCCCTCGTCGTTGTACGTCATGGGCAGGGACAAATGGATCGATCCCGGTCCCCCCTTTGCAGGCAGCATCAGGCTCAGGGCTGTGTAGAGAAGGATGGAGAGAATGAAGCCAAAGAGCCAGTTGACAGAGTACAGATTCTGCGCCCCCTGTGAGACGCTCACCGCCGACGGCCCGCTGATGCTCAAGGCAAGCCCCGGAAGCAAGGGCGCCACGGGAACTAGAAAGGCGACGGACGCGCGCCAGTTACAGCCTCCGACGAAGCGGTAGCGGCCATTGGGATCATAGAGTGCCGGGATGTCGTAGCGTCGCCTATTGACGAGCCAGTAGTCGGCTACCATGATGCCGCTGATGGGGGCCAGGAAAACTGCAAAAGTTGCTTAGCACTTACTCTAGACTGACGAACGTGTTTGACGATGTGTCTCGGACCAATACGTGCCAGCGTAGCCGCCCATAAAGGACAGAAAGGTGGTTGCGGAGCCCAGAATCTTCCACGGAACAAAGGCCCAGCCCCCGACGAGGGCAACAATGACGGAACCCCTCTTGATGTTGATCCAGCGTGGGAACATGACAGTCAAGTCGTTTGCGGCCGAGATGGAGTTTGTCGTGATGTTGGTGCCAACCTGAGCGATATACCAGGCCAAGGCGGCAAAAAAGGCCGCACACCGGCCGCCGCTGCCCAGATCGAGCCACATGGCGATGATGTCGAGCGGGTTCCAGACGTAGGTGCCGGTAAAGACCTTGGAGGCTGACGTGGTGACGATACCCAGCACGCCGCAGAGGGTGAAAATGATGGGCAGAAAGGGCATCTGCACGAACTGGCCGCGGCGCGAGCGCGCATATCTGGTGAAGTCGGGGATGTTACAGGCCATGGTGGCCCACGAGCCGGTTATCGTGGTCATGCCGGTGAGCCACAGCAGGGTGTAGGAGTTGCCGGTTGCCTCGGCTTTGAGGGCGAAGATGTCCCCGGCACCCCCGGCCTGACGGATGCTCCACCCCATGGTGGCGATGGCAGCGGCGGGCGCGCTGAAGAGCTTGATCCAGAAGATGGGCCGCAGCTTGGTCGGGTGGATGAGCAGCAGGGGCAGCTGGACGACCCAGAAGATGAAGTACGAGCAGAGGCCCTTGGAGTCGATGCCCGCGTCGGCGGGCAGCACGTTGGGGATGTCGTTGTAGCCGGGAGCGAGGGCGCGCAGCATAATGGTGACGCACTGGGCGCCGTTGGCCGACTGGATGCCGAACCAGAACATGGCGAGGACGGCGCGGCTGACGACGCAGAAGTAGCGGAGATAGTAGCCGAAGCTGGCGGCCGTGATGACGGCAAATGGGATATGCAGCGTCGAGCCAATGGCCCCGTTGAGCACCATGGGCACGGCCACGCAGACGGTGCCAACCACCATGCAGGGAATGGCTTCTCGCCACGAGAGGCCCAGAGATAGGATGCCAGAGGCGACCTGCCAGGTGGCCAGGTTGACCGTGTCGGTCATCCAGTAGGCCATGATGACCCAGATGGACCAGGTCTGCTCTTCGGGGGGAGTCGGGTCCATGTCATGGTTGGTCTGTTATTTGACCAGGTAAGGCGTCAGCAGAAGTCCCATCAATGGCTTTCCTCGTGCTTCCTCGTGATTCCTCCCCTCGTCAAGGAACATACCCAGACATCCTTCGGAGCCACGGCACTCGTCTGCTTTGGTAGCTCCCAGGCGCGAGCCGACGTGAGCCTCCGCCCGACCTTGTCTTTTAGTTGGTCCATGACGGGACTCGGGACAGAAGGGGCGCAGTTTCGATGCAAGTTCCCGTTGACAAGCGAAGCTTGCTAAACAAGTGGACTTGATCCAGATAACCGCTTTGTTCCCTCTCAGGCTCTCATATATAAACCTTGACCCGCGAGGCCCGGGCATCGAGTTGACCAGAAGCCCTTGCATGTAACCCTATACACACAAGCATAGCAAGGGGGTCAAAGAGCCGGTTCTCCTGTTACGCGCTAACAGAACACTAGCCCATCGTCCGCCAGTGACGCCACGGAAGATTTCCGCTGGATTTTTAGAAACTCTACTATTTATTTGTCCTACAACTGGTTGGCCGTGCTGTTTAACGGTACAAGCTCAACTCCGTCTATCCAATTTAAGCTGTGCCTCTGGCAACGACTCAAGCTTTCGTCCCCGAGCGCCGTTCGTGGGGAAAAGCCAAGAAGCGTAACCGTCCAATCGAAACCTCTCTCATCCCAGACCAGGGGGGGGGGGAGGAGCAATAGTCAAAGTAAGGCTGGCAGCGGCTCTGATGCTTTGCGACCAGCGGTGTCGCGGCGAGTCTATCGTACCAAGCATTGATGCAAGACCCTCAGAACCAAGCTACACCGAGCCGCGTAATCTAGCCTTTGGGGCCTGTGTCAAACAAGGCAAAGGCTTAGATAGAATTTAGCACGGAATCTGAAGGAGAACATTCTGCCAGGGACAGGGGCAGTGTCTGGATCTGGAAGGACGCGCCTATTTGTCGAGCCCGCTATTGTCTCGGCTTCCGTGCGAGCCACTGTGGCGTCAATGCGTCACTCCTGCTACGATTCCAGACTTCTGCGAGCCGGAGAAGCATGTACTTACTAGTCTTGACACGCGGTTGCATCGCCGTTTCCAAGTGAATATCTTCATGCTGAATATATGTATCTGCGCAAGTGGCCAGTATATGCACGCATACATCACTGTACATACTCTACGGTGAGCCTTGAAAAGTCTGAAAAGGCCATTATCGACGTATTAAGTTGATCAGCCAGTCTTCCTTCAGCAGGAAAGGGCCATTGGAGGCTGGGAAACCACCGCCTATGCAGCCACGGACGCACAACCTCTCCTACCAGACGACCCGTAGTTAATTGCCGACTCTACTGCCATTGCCTAGGGCGGCTTCCTTGCTAGGTATTTGCTAGTGTCATCTCACGTTCGAATCGTGGCCAAACTTTATCTCTTTTCTCCGAGAGACCCACGGCGGCTCACCCCTAGCCGCAGTTCGCGCGCGGTGCCCGAGGCATCCGGAATAGCCTGAAACGGGACCGGCTGCTCTGAGTGTCGTTCGATCGTGATGGGCATTGGGCCCACCTGACTCATGTTTCCGCCGCCCACTTCCTCTTTACAACGTCAATGTCATGTGGTACGTGGGGACGAAACCGTGCTGGTAACGAGCCTCGACTCGTCAACAACGAATGGAATCAACTCGTTGTCGGTCCGACAAGCTGAGCTTGACTACGCCAAGAGTATGCCAAGAGTATGCCGACACGAGCATCTTGTATCCTCCTTGACATGGGATAGGTCTCTCAAGTTTGATATCTTGACGAATGAACAAGCCAGGAGACCAAGTCCCGTTCAATTCTCACCCCCGGGTATCCTGAGATTTAAGAGTAACCTCAACACGCCTACGACTGGATTGCAGCTTCCCGATTGGATGGGGTCACAAGGGGAAAGTTTCCGGCGCCTTTCCACGTTTTTGCTCCACCTCTCTTTCGCGTGTCTCTTGAAGTTTTGTGGAAAACTCATTTGCAAGACTCAGTTCACGGTGGTTCGTTTTGCTGCAGACTTGTCCAAGGAATTAAACGGTAGACAAGTAAATCAGAGGCCTTCGTTAGGCTAATCTTTTCCGGATATCTTCACCCAGTCAAGGTCTCGTCACGTCGACGTGGATTCAACAAATCTTGTATCAAACATTCTAACTCCAATTCTTTATACTAGTAGCCTATGGTTCTTGCATTCCTCCAAGGCATCACATATGACGAACTTGGCATTAAACCCTCAAGTATAAGCAACTCGTCCAAGAGTCGTACTCCAAGACCTGGGTCAGCATTTTAAGTTTCCAATTGACCTCTTGTAACCCGCTCCGGCGACTCCGCTTCCAACGCCCATTGCTTACACGCCCCTCTGTGGCAATCACCCACCAGGGCCCATACGGAAAGGGGGCCGCCGACCCAGTGTGCCTTGCCATCTCTAACCCCGGCTGCCCCCACACGCCCCTCTTCGGGGAAGACCAGCCCGAATATTCCCTCGGCCTTGGACTGTGTTTAAATGCCAGTGATGCCAACTCTGAGCAACGTCCAAAACTGTCGGGGACTCTGATGCTTGCAGTTCGAGTAGACGCCACGCCTACAACGTCGAATCCCGTTCAAAATGGCCAACACCGAGACGTGGCTTGCCAAGGCCCAGATAGGCCGCGACGCCCTCGAGCAGTCTATTCCCCGGCACTTGATCGCAGGAATATCCAATTTGCCGGGCGATGACCAGAGAAACGTTTTGCACTTTCCAGAGGAGCGTGGCGTGCTCACGCCAGAGGAACTTGACATGACGAGCCAAACTGTCGACGGCCTACTGCAAAGATATCGGACGGGCAGGTGGACAGCCGAGGCAGTGACATTGGCATTTCTCAAACGAGCGACTATCGGCCAGCAGCTAGTAGGTGAAGCGAGAAACAAAGCAAGCCAGCAGTATACGCGATGCAGTTATCTGACTGATCGAAACAGCTTAACTTTGCCGTAGAGTTCTTGGCCGACCCTGCGCTCGAGGCCGCAAGAAGCCTGGACGAAAAGTACAGGCAGACGGGTGCCTTGGTTGGGCCTCTGCATGGTGTTCCGATTTCCGTCAAAGTATGCAATCGCACTGGAGACTGAGCGTCAAGTTTTCCAACTGACAAGCTTGAACTAGGAACACATTGGCATGAAAGGAAGAATATGCAATGCAGGCTTTGTGTGCAACACCGATTCCATTCCCGAGGAAGACGCACACATTGTCCAACTACTCAAGAAAGCTGGGGCAGTCCTCCATGTCAGGACGAACCAGCCTCAATCCATCATGGTAAGGCTATACGAGCCTGTGTGTACGGAAACCAAGACTGACGTTTCCTGTTCCGCAATAGCATCTAGACTGCAATAACAACATCACAGGCATGACGCTGAATCCCCACGATCGTCGCCTCTCGCCTGGCGGTTCTTCGGGAGGCGAGGGTGCTTCTGTTGCTTTTCGGTGCTCGGTGCTAGGTGTCGGCACAGACATTGGGGGCTCGATCAGAGGACCTGCAGCCTTTTGCAGCGTCTACGGTTTCAAACCCACGGCTCTGCGGAACCCAGGGCATGGGCTTGCAGGAATATTCGGTGGCCAAGAGTCAGTCCACGGCTGTGTAGGGCCCCTTGGTCAGTGTCTCGGCGACCTGATTCGATTCCAAAAAGCGGTGCTGGACCAAGAGCCCTGGGAGACGGAACCTTCTTTGATGCCGCTGGGATGGAGAGATGTAACCCTTTCGCCTCCATCTCTCACCGTTGGCATCATGCTTGACGATGGGTAAGTTGTTGTGTGCACGTATGGGATGCGCAGTCTGGGCTAACAGCTTCATCAAGCCTTGTCCAGCCCCATCCCCCGATAACAAGAGCTCTACTTGCAGCAGAGCAAAAACTTCAAGCTGCCGGGATAAAATCGGTGCGCTGGCAGCCGTACCAGCATGCCGAAGGCTGGGACATTGTGGTACGACAATGTTGAGGAGCAAACCCGAGTGCCGGCGCCGCTAACATTTGTCGTTCTCATAGAAGCAATTATATTTCGCCGATGGAGCCATCAGGCTGCGGAGCGCCCTGGAATCATCAGGAGAGCCGATGCTTCCGCTGACAGAGCACGTTCTAAGCTTCGCGAGCCCCACAGACTTGACGGTTCTGGATAACTGGAAGCTCAACTCTAGACGCGACAAGTACCGCATGGAATATCAGGCCTTGATGAAGTCCCAAGGCGTCGACGTGATTCTTTGCCCGACTTACGTCGGCGTCGGGGCGCTTCAGGGGCAGCCAAAATACTGGGCGTATACCGCTGTCTGGAACATCCTAGACTATCCGGCAGTCGTTTTCCCGAGCGGGCTTTGCGCCGATAAGACGACCGACGCCTTCAACTCGGATTACCAGCCTAGGTCGGCGGAGGATGAGAGGGAATGGAAAGCCTGTGAGTAACGTGGCCGCCTTTTCACCGCAGTTGGTTGAGTTAACAGTCCCCCAAGATGACCCCGAGCTGTTTGACAGCTTGCCAATATCAGTGCAACTGGTCGGAAGACACTGTCGCGATGAGGAGGTCTTGCAAGCCGCAAAAATAGTAGAGGAAGCTATCCGCAAAGGCGCCAAGGACATATGAGGTCCACTGGTCCAGAGCAAACTCTATATTCGTCACAAAATCTACTTGTAGACACCGCCTTTTCGTTTCATCCTTTGCACTATGGTACTCGTAGACGCTCCATAGGACTGGCCTAACCTTTCGGTGTCAAGGCTCTTGGTGGTTACCTCCCCTGTCGACCACGGCTCACAACTGTGACTGGCGATATAGCACGTTTAGTCATGGCTGAAGAGTCCAGGGCCCGTGAAATTGTGTGCCCCTGGAACCAGAGTTCTCAAACGCTGCTTTCATCTCGACCTCACCTGATCCTGCCCATCCTGCCCACTCGTGCTGCCTTGGCCCGACCGCCGTGGGTCGCACATGTGCGGATTGCGACCGCAATCTCCCCCAGTCATCCTTCACGGAAAATCAGTACTCCAAAGGCCCCGGGTGTTTCGCGACGTGTGACCTGTGTCCAAAGGCATCACCCCGACACCCAATCCGCAAGTTTGTCTGACGGCGGCAGATATAACAAGTCCGGTACGAGCTCCACCCCACAGTATTTCCTAGAGAATCCCTTTGCCAAGGTGCTTTTCGTTGGGTGGCCGAGGGAACCTACGCTTCAGGACCTCGTCAGGGCCGGGCATGTGTGGTCACCGGGCGCAGCCTTTTCAGACGATTATTTCACTCTCGACATCAAAGCCGTCGATAGGGCCTTGGGCATTGCAAACTAGTTCAATCAAGCGAAAATCATCGACCAGGCCGTCAAAATCGACGTGCTCGAAGTATGGTATTGTCAAGCTGGTAAAATACCGCTACACCATGCAAAATGAGGGCACCCCCGATAGAGGTGTTACTAACGCGTATCATAGGCCCTTGTCCTGACAGGTATTTACCGGCGCGAGTTCCGACAAGTGGTTAGGCCAGAGTCATCTTGCGAGCCTTTTATCGAAGACTTCCAGAAATTCAATAGCATTACTGGATGAAACGACGGTTCTGAGGACTAAAGAAAGGTTATGCAAGCCCTTAGCCACTATAGCTATCACGTGACGGATGGGTTTCACGTTCTCTGCGATCTCCAAGGGGGCATTTACCCATACGAGGCCATCCTCTTCGACCTGCTTATCCTATCTCGGAACCGCGAGTTCGGCGTGATGGATCTCGATTCAGACGGTATCACAGCATGACTGCAACGGCTTCTGTCTCCCCAACTGGGCTCGACCTGCCAACCCGGTTCAACATGTCCCCCCGTCCCCGGCACTAGACTTAAAAATACCCATGGGTATTTGCTTATAGGCTACCTATACCTACCCACGGGCTATTTTAGGGCCACTATAAATACTTAGTAGGTAGGTAAATTTAAAATAGGTACCTAAAAATATATATAGGTATATTCGGGCTACCTATAGGCATTACCTATTTAGTTTTATTATATTAATCGTTTATACTTATCTTAATACGAGGCACCTATAAAATATATATAAGCTATATAGCTAAAAGTAGTATTAAATTAAAGGATAAGATCCTATAGATATTATTTACTCTCTACCTTAACTATCCTTTTAATATTTAAAGTCCTGTCGTCGCAGTTAAATATTCTCCTTATATCTAGTTCTCTTTATAGAGGAGGCGACTATTGCCTCTATTACTATACGGCCTTTTCGCTTTTTCTTATAGCTTTAAACTTATTCTTCCCGATAAGAGTTACTTTCCTCTATCTCCTCTACTTCCCCTATTTCCTTTACTTCCTCTATCTCCTTTACTTCCTTTAACTCCTTTACTTTCTTTAACTTATTATTACTTAGTAAAGTAATATTAATTATATTATGATATTTATCTCTTCTTTACTAGCTTTATATTTATATTTAAAAAGAGTTTATAAAAAGCTTTTATTAGATAATACCTATAGGCTATAAGTAAGTATAAAATCTCTTACTTTAATCTTAATCTTCTTTATATAGTATTATAGCCTCTTTATTAAAACGAATTCTATTAAAAGGATTCTTATTTCTAGGAGTATAAGTATAAGAGTCTTTAACTATTATAGGTTATAGGCTTAGGCTACGGCCTAAGCCGTATAGTTATATATAGAGGGCTAGATCCCGCACGTATATATACGAGCTAGCCGCGCATAGAAGAGCTCTATATAGCTTATTAATATTATCCTACGGACGGCACCTATGTATACGCCTCTGCCTACTCCGTAATAGTATAAGCTATTAACTAATAGATCTAATAGATATCTCCCCGGAAAGGGCGCCGCTTCCCTAAGGGAGCACCCCGCTACCCCCTAGGCGGATAGGAAGTATCGCAGCTATCCTAAAAGCGATTAGAAGCGCGACGGCTAGCGAGAAGAACGAGGTTCTCGCTGCACTAGGGGAGCCGTCTACGAGACTAGCGTTAACCCCTACGACCTCCGTAATACTAGTTACGGCGGTAGTACTACCGATACGGAAGCCGCTTCCGTAGCCGACTTAGGACGGTAAGCCTAAGTCCTTCTACTTCTTCCTTAGCCGGCTATAGATAAAGTTTATAATAGATAAGAAATAGGGCCTAAATAGCTATCGTAATATAGCGTGGTATTTGCTCCTCTATACGCTACCGGAGCCTTAGATATAGAGGATCTCTAGATTCTAGGATAAGGGCGGCCCTAGGGGTAGACGCGACCTATAGGACTTCTTTTAATACCTTATATATACGTTCGGCAACGTATAGGAGCGGGAGAAGGCATAGGATAGGCTATAGACCCTTAGGTAGAGGGACGGGTAGTCCTTTAGCGAATTCCTCCCTAACTTTAAAGAGACGCTCTTATAAGCGGCGGGAACTATAGTATAGGAAGATAGCGCGAAGCTTATATAGTTACGGAACTTAATTACGCTAGCCTTATAGGAGCTACTTATCCCTATAATTATACCTACTAACTACGGCGAGTATATAAGCTAGTTAATAAAGGTAGTATAGGGCTATAAGTAGGCGCCGCGTTTTTAGAAGCTTTATAAGCGTACGCCGTATAGCGGTAATAGGATTACCGCCCCTCTATAAGAGGAATAGCCGACTATCGATATAGATAGGGATACCTTAATATCGGCTACTTATATAGACCGAGCTAAACGCGGTAGGAAGTTATTATTAAATATTCCCTATACTATTCCGCCCTTTAAGTAGCGGGCGAAGTAGGTAACGAGCGAGGAAATTAGGAAAAGGAAGGCTAACGGCCGCTACCTACGTTACGGCGCGTTTATATACTTTATATTAAAATGCCCCTTCCTTTTAGCTAAGCGGCCTATAGTAGTTTAAGTAGCGAAGATAGAACTACTTCTTACCTTAGACGATAAAGAGGACTCTACGCCCCTAGGCCTAAAGGAAAAAGAGTAGCTCCGGAGTAAAGATAAGCTCTAGAGCCCTAATTACTAGCACTAGTAAAAGAGAAAGAGGAATTATCCGCCTATATAGAAGAGGAGCCTACTTTAATATAGGTTATAATTAATAACTCCTTACCCGTCGCCGCCCTTATAGATAAGGTATTACGACTACGGCTACTAGGCCGCTAACGGTCGACCGCGTTAAGCACGTAATACGGTCTAATAGATAAATAGTCGGCACGACTATCTAATAGATATAGGATCGAGGGGATCGTAGAGATCTAAGTAATCTAGGATTAATAGGATTACTACGCTCTATACGATCTAACGTTAGGGATTATAGCTAGGCCTATAATCTAAGGATAGTCTTTATAGGTATATATAGCTACCTACTTTTACTCCTTTAGATAGATAGCTCTCTAGCTTTTAATATAGATCTTTATTACGATTCTATCTCTAATTCTAATTACCTAGTTATAGTCTACGGTCTACGACCTCCGACTTATTACTAACGTAATATATATATTATTGCTTAGACCACGCCTTATTATATCTACTAATATAAACCCCTCGATAGGTTTATCCCTTAGGAATAACGCCGGTCGTTATACGTTAAAAGCTCTTATTTAGTATAACACCGCGTTACTCTAAGTAATATCGTAACTATTAATATACCTATATAGTAAACTAGATTAACTAACTCTAGAGCTACTATATCGCCTTAGGATATAATGCGCGAGATTATTACCCTTCGATATAAGGTATAGTTACTTAGGAACGGAGGAGGCAATAGATAAGTTAAGGACCTCGGAGAAGTAGTTAAACTAAAATAGCTAGGACTATTCGACGGTACTTATAGCACGCTTTAAGACTTTCTTACCTAACTTAAGGCCTACTACCGGTTTTACCCTATTAAACTTTCGGACCTAGTCGAAAAGGTACTCTATATAGGAAATTATTTATCTAGAACGGCACTCGCTTAGTTTAGACCTATTATAAGGGATTTTCTCGATAACTAACTAGCGCGACGAGATAACGAGATAGACGAAGTCTTTGCTAGTTTCTAAGGATTCGAAGAAGCTATTATAAAGGTATTCGGAATAACCGATAAGGAATAAGAAGCTAAATAAAAACTTTGAGAACTCCGATAAAGGATCTTAGTATCGGATTATACTACGAAGTTCCGCTAAGTTACCTTAAAGCTTAATTAAGACGACGAACCTCTTATATTACGATTCTATAACGGGCTTAAAGAAGAAGTTAAGGACGAACTCTATAAGGAAAATCGACCTAATAACCTCTTAGACTATATTACTATAGTAGTACGAATCGACGATAGATAGTATACGCGATGCTAAGAAAAGAAATAAAGAAGAGGAAACTAGAACCCTTCCTATAAAAATAACTTTAACCGACGCGCTAACTATAAAAAGAAGCGCGAAACTCCTATTACCTACGCCCATATAACTAACCTAGGTAGGATAGATCTAAATATAATATAGAAAAGTAAAGGAAAGTGTTTTAACTATAGGAAACTTAGATATTACTCTAAAGAATATAAATAACCTTATAAGGAGAAGAAAACCTACTAGGCACTAGCCTTAGAAGTTAGACTATATACTACGATAATAAATATATAGTATACTTAAGCGATAAGAACGGTACTAAATAGTTCCTAAA